AGCACTAACAAAATGTCAGGTCCCAGGACGTATCTGCTGATCCAGATTCCAACCACAACCTCCTAGACGCAGCCACGGGCGCAGGGGTTCAACCGAACATCAGCCTTGCCCCCAGCCAGGGTGGACAGAGGGCCTCTGCCAGGTCGGGAACAGGCGGCCGGCTCACCTCCGGACTCGCTCCGGGCCTGGGACTGAGGCGGAGGACCCGTGAAGGGCAGCCCGGCTATTCTGCGGTCGCGCGCGGCAAGATGCACCTGAAGCTACACACTGCCAAAGGCAGCAGCGCGGGCAAAGATAACAAGCTTGGCTCTAATTTTCAGGCAGGGCAGAGCAAAGAAGGTGCAAATAAATTTTAAAAAAGACAGTGCTTTTTTCTTGGGCACAGCCCTGTAATATGAACCCCCGATAGAAACAGTGCTGCCTGTCCTGGGGTTCACGACACGACATCGCATTCTGAAAACGTGACCACCTGAACTGATTTCACTTTATACAAAGCAAAGCCACCAACATCCTTCAGAACAGTGCGATTTGCTCAGGAGCTCGCCACAATGAACCACCTGGACTTCATGGTCTCCTCCAGATTGACTGTGTTTATTCATGAGCACATAACGCAGTGTGCATGTCATCCACTCACACATTACTATTCATCAGTCCAGCAGAAGATCTGGCTCGGAGGAAAAATACACATTCGCTGCGCCCTTCTGAAACTGAAAACAATGCAAGTCAGATCACATTCATGAGCCACCACGTCTGCACCTGTTTTCCGTTAGATTGGTGCACCTGATACAAAGTCTCAATAACCAGAAAACAGGAAGTACATCACTACAATACACTTTCCATATAGAAAATACACAACCTAGACATTGCAAATGCCACTCATTTCTGTTCATCAGTGGCATATAAATGCACATAAGAGGATCTCCACAGCAACAAGCTGCCCAACACCTGATAATGACAGCAGACCGGGAGCCATGAACACAGACTCTGACCCCCAGTGACTCCCAGTGCCCCTCCAGACATCTGAAGAACTACAGCACCTGTGGTTTGTGCAACACTAACCTTAGTACAGAAAGCTATTT